TGTAAATACAAGACGGATGGATATAAAAGAAAATCTCTAACATCGAAAGTAGGACAATAGTGAAAAAGATATATAGAACGTGTGTCTGTGTGTTCTCATGTATACTGGGAATATTTAGTTTTCAAGTGAAAATAATACATGAAGAACATATTCAATTCGTGAGCGCAAAATGCTATAAGTATGGAATCGAACGAGCGCGAGTTGGTTGAACAGCAAGTGTTATTTTCTCGTTTTGCTGTTTTCAATTTTTTTTCTCATTCCTTTTGCTTGCATTGGTGTATTCATTTGTAAGAGGATTCAATTCGAAAGAGCTTAAATAACATTCGTGTGTGCGAAAAATGCGAGATATGAAGACGCGACACATTGATATTATTGTTACACTTTAACACCCATCAAGAGTATACAAAATGTCAGCCAAAGAAAAAGGAAATTTCTATACATATAAACATGAGATAAGATGAGATGCGATGAGATGAAATGGATACGTGTGACGTTGATGTAGACCGACTTTTGCAAGATTCTTAGTTTTTTTGGTTGCAGTTTCTCATTCTCTCTCTCCATCGCTCTCCATGTCAGCCGTGTTTGCTGTTTTCTCTATCAAACAAGCGTACAATTTAATATTCGATGCCATAAAGGGAACCCATGTTGAACGAAAACGGAAACTCGACAGCTGCACAATTGAAATGATAAACTGTATGATAGGTTTTTTGCAACAATAACAAATTGACGCGAATCGAACGGACGATATTGATAAAATTATGGTATAGAAAATCAGCTTAACCCTCGAATGGTCCAAAACATCTGGAGCGCATACACAATCAGAATATAAAGAAAGAATAATGGACGATCGGAAACGATTTACTTAGTTGTTATTTTTTTATTCTATGCTTGAAATTGTTTCACACCGCCATTTTCTCTGTCGCCAAACTTTCTGATTTCGACGAAAAGTTTTTTGAAGTACGTGTATTAAAACAGTTTACGTGATAATTCGATAATACGAACATTTATTTGATAATGTTCCATTTTATTTTTGCTTCTCATTCTCTCTCACAATTTTGTACCCCGATTCAATTGATGTTTTCGTAAGGTTTAACAAGATAGAAAAATTGAGCGATTTATCTTTGTTTTTGGTTCGGCAATTCGAAGCTCGAATGGGAGCAAGCATAACCACTTGACATTGAACATGGAACTCTTTATTTTTACTGCACCTCGCTCTATATCTTTCAGTCGAAATTGCCAGGTTGATCGATGAGCATTGCAATTGTGCAAAACTCATTCATTCAGAATTCGTTGTGCCATAGAAATTTTTTTACGTAGGTTGCTCCATAATTTTTTTTAAAATGGTACTTATAGTGTTGCCCGATGTAAACCATTGTCATATTCGTAAAGTTTGATGTTTTGGTATGTATTCGTGCCCTGAACCTTTTGTCGTACGAACGCTATTTGTATTGTTTACAGTGACTGGTAAACTGCGACTCAACAAAAAAATGAATTTTACACGTGAAGATTTTCGTAAAATGATTTACTACGATTTTCGAAGTAAATTATCTCAACAACAGTGTTTCGATCGACTTCATTTGGCCTTTGGCAATGAAGCACCAACCCTTCAGACAATTTATAACTGGTACCGAGAATTCCGTTGCGGTCGTAGTTCGCTCAAAGACGAGTTTCATACAGGTCGTCCAAAATCGGCTGTTGTGCCACAAAACATCGATGCTGTCAGAAAACTGATTATGGAAGATCGTCATGTGACCTACCGTGAGATTGAGGCATCTTTGGGCATTTCATCCCACAGCATACATACAATTTTGCATGAACATTTAGCCGTAAAAAAGATTTGCTCTCGTTGGATCCCACATAAATTGACCGATGAACAAAAAATGGCTCGTGTGAGTTGGTGTAAAGAAATGCTCAAGAAATTCAATCGTGGTGCTTCAAAAGACGTTAATAAAATCGTCACTGGTGACGAATCGTGGATATATGCCTATGAGCCCGAAACGAAACAGCAGTCGACTGTATGGGTCTTCCAAAATGAAGATAACCCAACGAAAGTTGTTCGAGCAAGATGCACTTCGAAGCGAATGGTCGCCTGTTTTTTCGGGAGAAGTGGTCATGTGGCAACCGTTCCACTAGAGGATCGTAAGACCGTCAATTCTGATTGGTATACCACCATTTGTTTGCCCGAAGTGTTTGGTGAAATAAGAAAAAACAACCACCGTCGCAAAATAATTCTTCATCACGATAATGCGAGCTCTCACACATCTTTTCAAACTACTCGATTTTTGACCGGTCAAAACATCGAACTGATGGGTCATCCACCGTACAGTCCTGACCTGGCACCCAATGACTTTTTTTTGTTCCCAAGCGTGAAGAAAAAACTACGTGGTCAACGATTTTCGACACCAGAAGAAGCAGTTGAAGCGTTCAAAACACACGTTTTGGAGATATCAGTTTCGGAGTGGCACGAATGCTATGACAAATGGTTTCATCGAATGCAAAAGTGTATCGATCATCTCGGGGAATATTTTGAAAAACAATAAAACCATTTTCGACAAAAAACAACTGTGTTATATATGTTTTTAAAAAAAATTATGGAGCAACCCTCGTACTTAGCATGCATTGAGGACAATGATTTCAGATACAAAGTAAAAATACATGTTTCATTGATGACATTGAAATACACAGAAATACAATATATAACCCATGAACAAATTTAGCAAGAGATTAATAAATAATTTGTTGAAAATGAGCACAAAATGAAAACCGGTCAAAATTGTGCGATTCTATGAGTTTAAATGAAATGTATGTATGTATAAATGGCATGAGAAAGACGAATTTTGTGTCAGTTGTGAGATCATTTATTATGCTATTTCTGAAGTGCAAACTTCTGAAAGCCAATATAATTACATTAAATTAAAACCAGAATTCATAGTTACAGTGTGTGCAAAAAGTCTACAGAGCCATTTCGCTATCTTTCGTTCGCTCGCTCACTCGTCGCTTCGTTTTCTGCCTGCTGCTATTACGTATATAAATATTGTGTTTCTGTGAAAAGCTCATCATTCACGTGGACGTGGATTGTGAATACAATCTGATTACAGTATAATGCTATTATCGGATTTCGATTAAATGTGTGCGTTTATATCGTGATGAACCGATATCGAAATCGATACATAATCGAATCAAATAAATAAAGACGGCTACGGCTTCATTCTTATTTGATTCGGATAAAAATGCGATTCGGATTCATGATGGCAAGAGTGAATGTGAATTTTCATTTTTTATTTGAAACACACACACACACAAAATAATAACTGAAATATTTCTGCCAAGTGGTGGTCAAATTGCAAACTATAACATCCGCTGATTGTTTTAGTAATTTTCATAGTTAACTACATAATGCCCTTCAGTTTGATGTTAAATGTGATGAAAATTGTAATTATTCTAAATTCAACTGGTCATTTATAATTTTACCGCCAGACATACGGCCAACATTTTACATCATTCAAAAATATAATGATGATTATTCCTGGTAATTTAAATTCATTTATCATAAGAAAACATAAATATATTCAATATTTAAAAGGAAACGTAAATTAACCAATTTCGTAATAAGATTTTAATATTTTGACATTCCAATGAAAAGCGATGAAATTATGATGTGTGTTGCTGTATATTAGGTGTCGAGCGCTTAACGTACACCTGAATAAAAAATGATGATCTCATTTTAATTGACATTGATTTTACAGTTAGAATGAATTATGTATCTACACCAGACAATATATTTAGCTGCCGTCATCTGGATATTTCAGCTCATCTGGATGCCGTCAGCAGATGATGCGAAGTGAAAACAATAGAAGTGATTGTTATAGTAATACCAGTATATATCAAGCTTATATACCTATAACAATCACTTCTATTGTTTTCACTTCGTATCATCTGCTGACGATATCCAGATGACGACAGCTAAATATATTGTCTGATCTACACATACTACATTCAGATAATATATTGAATTGTTGCTAAATCGATGTATTCATTATTTTGTAATTTCGTTATAACACGGATACTTATGAGCGTAATGGATTATTTACGTTCGCAACGTATTAGATTTCGATTATTTATTTCACCAATATTTCGTTTTTTTTTTTGTTCGATTGCATAAAGTGCTCTTATGTTTAGGCGTCGTCTATTAGACGAACATCTGATACAAAGGACAGAGAGAAAACATCAACTACGGAAGCCAAAAACTCGATCAATTCTTTGCACAAAAATTGATATCAAAAATCGCCGAAATCCGTTCGCCTGTCACAAAATCATTCCTATTGCCTGCAGCCTGTCACTTCACTATGAAATGAAAGTGCAAAGGATTGTGAATAGATGCGCTTTTATTCTCTTGCTATGTTTCTTTTTTGTCATTTTTAAATTGAATGCTGCAAAAGCTTGACTGACGTATTCACGATAAAAATGTAATCGACTGTATACAGTGCATTTCATTCGTTGGCATTTCATCTTTTCCAACAATTTTGTGCGAAAATCGTTATCAATATATTATTCCCTTTAGGGATCCGGCATGCAACGTAAAGTGGAAAATTTTGCATAAAAAACGGCACAACCATTTTGCACAGAGATTAATCATAATGCAACACACTGATGATAATTTATTAGATGCAATGTGGTGGTGTTCATAGAACATTCAAAGTGGAAAATCTACATTAAATATTCTGCTTTGCATACAAATTGTTAATTGTGTATAATAATAATAGTTTGTAATATGGAAAGACTGTATTCTTTGTGCATCACAAAGGTACTATAATTAGTAGCGAAGTAGATACAATATTGAATACCTATTTGTAGTCGAAGAAAGATTACTTAATACTTTTGAATGTGTTTAAGTGTGTTCAAAGTCATACGCGTTCAATCAATCAATCAAACAACATAAAATATGGATTGGTGAGATTAACTATATGGATATGTATTATTGGACATAAATAATTACTTACTTTACAGTGTTGTGAATTAATACCGATTGATGTTCAGTGTTAATAGTGCGCTTGTTTATTTGAATGTTCGATTTAATATGTGATGTTACATGATGATTGCGACTAAATTGTGGAGTTTTTTTTTTGTTACTTTAACAGCAATTAATTTACACAATGATTAATATTGTTTTCGTTTTTGTTTTGTTTTTAATTTGTGTGTCACTTTTAATAGCTTTCTTAAAATGCATTCATTAAATTGTTATCCATGTAATTTGTTTTTAACATTTAATTATCAATATGATACTCGAAATGTAAATCCAGAGGGTTCATGATATGTGCTAATAACAACTATGGTGACATTTCATATATATATACACACACTTTCGAACATAGTTAGAGACAGAATAATTTACATTCCATAGAAAATGTGCGGTTGATGTTTTTCACTGATTTTGTCTGCTTAACGTTGTGTTTTTGTTCGTGTTTTATTTAAATATCTGAAATCTGTTACACTCAATTTCACACTAAAAGCTTGTGTCAACGTTACCACATGTTTTTTTTAATGGCCATTTTTTTCTCTTCGTTGATTTGATGATATAGTTAATAATGTCTGTATGGTTTAATATTGATCGTTGCAGTTTTACGTAATTAACTAATGGCACAGTTCAAATGAACACAATCTACTGTCTATAGGCATTATTACTGAAACTAATGCAAATCTCTTTAGATTAAGAGTTCTAAAAGAGAAATTCGTGTCAAATGCATAACCTGTGCTTAATTCAATGCATTAAATTGTCTTTTGGACAACAACGAAAGCCGTCATTTGAATTAAAAGAACCGAACGAATAAAAAATTAACTCTTGTATCATATGCTTGGTCAGTGTACATTATACACCAGCGCACTCGGCTAATGTCCGTTGTCTATTTCAGCCTCTGTTCAGGACTGTTCCAAGTTTATGGCTCTTATCACTGATTAAGCCATCCAGCATTTATGATGATATGATCCGCTGAATAAGCAATAGACGTACTCGATGAGCGAGAGACAAACAGAGAGAGAGAATACACACTGTATACAATGAAGGCGATTACTTTACCGATTTTGTAGAAAAAAAAAAGTCTCTTTCTTTTTTCACTCTCTCACGTGAATGCAAGTTTTATGACTTTTCCGTAAAGTGTAGATTTACGTAACCAACTGTATATTCTTATCGATTCGCATCAAAATCGACAACATACACTCAAAACTTTCGCATCGAACAATAATTCATTCACCAGAGATGAAGATAAAATGCGAAGCAATGAAGCGATACACACTGCGATTGCAAGTGCCACTCATGAAATTGTTAATTGTGTAGTCATGCCGAAAATCTAAATTACACACATACTCGAGAAAATTGTGTGTGTGTGTGTTATATATGTTGAGCTGGAGCCGATGAATGTACGGGGAATGAAACTCTGTCGATGTTTGAAGACAGTAAATCGATGTGATGCACTTATTCTCTTATCTTAAACTGCTTTCGATTTCAAATGCAAGATGTCGATGGTTGATATCTCTCATCAAATTCTCGTAAAACTATGCACGATTGCTGCTGTTGGTGTTGCTATTGTTCAACTGAACGCCACTGGCCCGAGTGATTTTGATTGATTTACCAAAGACACAATACACACACCGAACCCACAGAGCACATCAGATCAGCGAACCTACAAAGCAGATACATCCACAAAATGTGTGTTTTACAACGAGAATAGTTTCTCTATCCCGTTTTCTCTTATCCGCTTAACTTTTGTGGATTGGGTGAAAGAAAAAAGCTAACTTTTTTTATCGGTTCACGCGGTTGAAATAACGAGAATGTCTTGTTCAACAAATTAAACAATTCTTCACCACACAACGAGAAACTTTTTATCTGTAAACAGAGACTTTTGGTGTTTATTTGTTTGTTTTAACGGTTCTTTGGGAGTTCGAGAGACTCGCTCGATCCCACTCTCACTCACTTGATGTTTTGTTATTCGTGTCGCTGAACTTTATTTAGATAACAAATTTTCATGGAGTAACAACTTATTAAAAACAGCTTTTCGCCCTTTTCCTGTATTCCAGCTTGCACTCTCGAAAATCCACGTTTGGCGCACCGAATCATTTATTTAGTTCAACGATATAAGTTCTTCGCCGACTGAATTGTAGCATTCAATTCATGCGAATGAGCATTGCGTGTGTTCATGTGACCAGAATATGAACACATCAAAGCGGTTTGTTTGAATAGTACTTTTTGTTCCACACTTTGCAAATTATATGATTTATGCTATTCCATTTGGCCCAACTATAATTTGATTAATAGCAATCTGTGACCGATAAAAAAACGTTGTACATTCGCGACGGCGTTTCACCAACCATATTTTTTTTATCATACACACAAGAGGTGATGCATAAGTTCGTTTTTAGATTTATACGTGCGCATAATTCGCAACACAATATACCCGCACACGCATTCAACACGCACAATTTTTCTTCGTTTTTTATTTCTGCAACAATAGCAACGAATGTGAAAAAAAAAAAATCAAACAAACCAAAATGAGAGTAGGGCAAACTGAAAGTTTACAACAATCAAGTTATGAGAAAGTGAGCAAGAGGCACAAATAAACCACTGCTTTCTCTCTCTGTGTGTGTATGTGTTTTTTTTTCTCAAATTATATATACACTACATGAAAACTACCATAAACTTCTTTTTCTCTACTATTATGAATTCACTGTGAAAAAAATATGACCGTAAATATTTAAAGAACTTGCATTTTTTCGGTTTGGTTCAGTTTTGACGTTATTTCGTTCATTGGCTTTTCGTCTTTTTCATTGCATTCACTTTTGGCCAACGAAATCCAATATCAACAACGCATTTAAACTCCCGGCGAACTGAAAATGTTTACGTCTGGCAAACACATGGGTTCTAACTTATTAACGGCAATACACACACACGAGAATGAAGAAAAAAAAATGTGAAAAGTAAAAGAAAAGAGGACGAGAGATTGAGTGTAGGGTGAACCAAAAAAATGGAGAAAAACACAATGAACGAACCGGATCTGGGTGAACGAGAAAGAATGAGAAAGGAAAATGAACTTGGAATGATTTTGCCGATGCAAAGAAAGTAAGCGTAGATATATTCAGTTTTACGGATTACAATTTTTTAGATTAATGTACACGCCCACGCGAAACGATTGTCAACCATACAATAGGACACAAATTTCATTCTCAATTGTTGAGCTTTTGGCTTAAGCTATTTTGTTTCGGTGTTTGTTTGCTTTCTTTCGCTTTTTTTTGCAATCGCCGACTTTTCGATGTGAATGTGTATTTTTTAGGATACCGTCGTTTTTTTTTATCGCATATGTCTCGCCTGGAAGCTATTACGAGCACTTGAATCAGTCAGACCCGCAAAAATGTAGTTCAATTTCGTTGAATACCGTCTGAATATTATGTTTGACACAAATTATATTTTGATCTTTGACGTTGTATTTTCACTCATTGGTTCCGATTTAATTTTGATTAGCAATATTCATCGGCGATTGAAATTATCATCAATGTCACTGTTTCATTCACACTTATTTATTAGTTTTCCTTTTTCTTTTTCGGTTATTGATTTGCAATGAATTTTATGATATTTATTTATTTTTAATTCATATAAAAGCGCAAGATATTCTCTTTGACACGCATAAACATGAATCGAATACTTGACACGAAACGAACTTTGAGAGTTGAATGATTGATGGAGATCCGATTACGATAGTGCAACTAAGCGTTCCGCCAAAATACTTATTTAATTATATTTTGTCAATGTTTCTGTTTCGTTTCTTTTTTCTTCGCGCTTATTGGTGGTTATTGGAAATTATTTGTTTTCTTATTTGCTATTGCATTTGACATTTATCGCCTTTTCTTCTGTTTACATTGGTTTGTTGTTGTTCGTCTTTTTTCAGTATTCGTGACGCTCACGCACTTTTTATTTGCTTAGTTGTTTTTTGCTGTTAAAACGTCGCATGTGTTCGAGCTTCGATAATTTTATTGGATTTTACTTGTTGTTTGTCAAATGCTGCCGTGTGATATATATTCCGTCAGCTGTCAACATTCAATTACATGCCATCGAATCGTTTTTCTTACACTTAAATAAACACACTACAATGCTGAACTAAACAATGGCTTGTGTTCAAATTCACTTGAGTAATTCTTAATGATGTGTGTCCTTTTGATTGATAATGATAATTCAGTTGATTTACAGCTAAAAATGATTGAGCGTATTTTCCATTTCTTTTTGTTCACTTTTTCGACTGATTTTAACTATTGTTTGTTTGTTTGTTATGTTTCTTAAATTTCTTTCGCAATTTTTGGCTTTTGATTTTTACACACAACAAGTAACAATACAGCAAATGTAATTAGGCACTTCGAAAATTCTAAATCATTTTTGGAAAAAACAGATTTGCGATTACAACAAATAAAGAGCAGAAAAGGGGAGAGAAAACGAGAGAGAGAGAGAGAGTATATGGAATATATGTGATTTCAAGTGTGTGTTAATTTGTGCATGTAAACGGTTGTTATTGACGTTGGTTTGCTGCGTTCATGAAAGTTTGAGGCCAGCTCATTGAGACTTCGATAGTTGATTGAAAATATGGTGCAATAATCGTATGAACGATAACGAGCACAAAATATATGTTTTGTTATTGAATTTCTGCCAATCGGCATCGATATAAAACAATAATTAATGCCTATTCAACTCTTAAGTGGCATTTGATTAGTGTCGTAGAAGGCGAATTTTTAGTATTGGTATAATGTTTTTTGTCAAATGGTTGGATAATTGAAGTTGTTTGTTTAATAATAAGGGTACACACAATGCCAAATACTAATCAAGACACACAGACAAATGCAAAGAGCGAGAGATGTAGAAAGTTGCGATGCGAAAACGAAAATGGAATTCCATGACAATAAATTAATGTACGAATTATACGAGATGATCGAGAGAAAGCAGTTAACACAATGACACTATGCCAACGATATGACATTACAAATTATGCATCGAAAAAAGGTGACTTAAAAATTGTGCTGATAAACGCTATGTCATCACTTGAATAGCAAATGAAGCTAATTTAATATAAACGCGCGCAAATTCGCTTTTCAGTTG